ACCGCTGCCACTTACTTACCTTTCTCACAATCGGCACTGCTGTAATAATGACATCTGTCGGTCACGCTCCTGTCCAAGATCAGACTCGGACCTGGCAGGCACTCATCAAGTCCCTCCCTCTCTGACAGTGGCTGCGTCTGAAAGGATTAGAGCCACTGGCCGCTGCAAATTAGAGCCTTTTAAGGCTCTCATATCTATGTGGCTCTGATGTCTTGCATGCACGTTTCTGGCCATCACATGATCTGCAGTACCCAATTGGACTAGTTCTTACTTGATGTTTTCTCGATGCCTTATCATGGTTTCCATTGTGGTTATTCAAGACCGTATTTATAGTATTGATTCCTGTATATCTTGACAGTGGCTTGTAATTTGACTATTTTGACTGCTGTATACCTTGATCTTTGGCTTGGGTACCATTTTTGTACACTCTGTTTTCCTGACCTCCACCTGTCCTATTCTGTATTAACATTAAATCCTTTCTAACACTGACACAGAGACACAAATTTACACACAAGAGTGCTCAGGAACATACACAGGTACACAATGCCAGAGACACAGACACACTCAGTCAGATAGGCAGACACACACTCTCAGTCACACTACATAATGCTAGACACACAGAAAAGCTCAGCCTCCTCATACTCATGCTCTCAGCCTGCTCCCCACACACAACACTCAACCACTACATAACACTCACAGAAACAGAGTTTGGGGCTGCAAAAGTGGATCCAGTCTGGCACCCTGTGTAATGGCCATGGCAACGCTAATCCATCTCTGTATGGCATCACCACTGATGCAATGCTTCCTGCCTGCCAAATCAACTTAATGTCACCTTTCCTTAAGTGCAGCCAGCTTATCATGAGGAGAACTTGCCGTTTTTTAACAACTTGGCTGAAAGCATTTGAGGACATAATAGGATTGACCTCTCAGACACTTTTGCCAGTCAGACATAAATTTCCCTAATTCCCGGGGGGGGAGCATTTTCTCTGGTGCTCTGTCACTGCTTAGAACATCTGAGCAATTCTCCAGTTGCATGGTACCAATGAGTACAATACTTGTTTCCCCAATCTAGATTTAGCAATCAGCAATTTAACAATCTGCCAATAAAGTCAGATTTGTGAGACTCTGATGATTCTGTGAACTTTAGCTTTTGTTTTAAATCAATTATAAATTCTTATTATTAATACATCATTTACTGTATTTTTGGAACGTGGCATCCATTTGCTGCTTTTCTGTTGTAAATGGGGTAGGGCCACCCTTGATTGTCACTATACTCATTTTGACCTAGCACCGTGAATGTTAAGACTTTATGTAAGGTGAGCAAGGTCTGTTGCACATTGCTATAAAGTTCTACATACAGAATATACTACACCATTAGAAGTTTCTCTTGTTTTCTCCTTCTTGGATCTGCAGACTGAGTGCGCTGGATATGCTGGAGTACTAAAGGCACACAAGCCCATAACTGAATTTTTTTAGTCTCCACCAAGTGAGGGAGTACATTTCTCACAATGTACATTCTCCATACATGTGTATTGACTTTATGACACTACATATACTTTCTTGACAAAAAAACTGAAAATACGAGATCTTTAAGACCGGTTATATTGTGGCCAGCAAACTGGTCGGAAATGCCTCCTACCATGCGACATGAAAGGTGGTTGGAATCACAGTGGGGTACAGCCTCCCTAGGTGCGCGCATGCCAGTTCAGTGCTCTCTCAAAGGGAAAGGGGGCAGGTCAAATTAAGGGAGGTTTGTTTAGAGTTCAGTGATTACGTGTGGGGCATGCCTCCTCTTCCCTATGTAACACCCTCTTTGCTCAGTTATACTGTGCTCCTGGTGGCGTTTATTTCAGTACTTATTCTGCATCTTAGATTCCTGGTATTCACCCCTCTGTCTGTTTGAACTGTTAATAAATCTTTGCTGCCTGACCTGACCTTTGGCTATCCTTGCTATATTTCTGCTGGATCCTTATCTCTACATCAATTCTGGAATTAGTATCCGACTTCCTGCTGCACTTTTGGCTCTTTCCACAAACCTTGCATTTCCTTTCCTATTATATGTTATCATCAAGTTTGTATTGCTCAAGGGTGAGTGTTAAAATGAAGCACTCCACTTAAACAGCTGTTATGATCATTTTTTTTTCATGTTTATTTTTTTTTGATTGGCCTGCTATAGGCTCAGTTGGGTCATCAACAGGCTAATTCAAATACACAAAAATAAGTCCCAGCTCAGACTCCCCACTACTTCTCAACGGCAGCAATGATCATAGTAGACATCAGCGCCAATACATACAATCAAAACCTAAGAAAAAAAAGTGTTCCCTATCCCAAATCTCTATGCATAGTTAAACAAATTTAGTTTTTTATGTTTCACTCCAATGGCCATTAGGTGTAAGCCCACCTGTCACGTCAAGGCAAACCTCCTAGGTGGGTCCTACACTAAGAATTTACCTTGCTTTTGTCCGCTTCAGGCAAAAAAAATATCTAATGAGACAGAGAGCGGAATTTTTCTAAACCTTTACATACTTATTAACCCTTAATAGGGAACACATGAGGTGGGCGGCAGCATTGTAGCATGGCCATGTGCCAATTGTCTTGTGGTCCTGGATTTGGCTTACTTGTGCATCCCCAGCAGCAACATATGTGAGTCTCCCTGAGACAGGTTAAAATGCATCGTAAAACTTTTAATGCACTCTCAGCCCTTGCTGTTCTTGTTGGATAGATGGCATTGCACGTGATATGGCAAAAATGTTGCTTCCACATTATCTATACAGATGAGAGGTGATAAGCAATGGGTGCCATTTATGTGTGTGTGTGTGTGTGTGTTCTTTTAGACTTATAATAAAGTAACTGTAAAAATGTTGAAGATGATGTAAGATTGGATTTAATTTCAAGGTTTAGAGAGCATAACATATGGTTTTATTTATTTATTTTCTCACTCTTGCAGTTCCCTTAAACACCATTGTCCCAGATAAATATTCTTGCAGATGAAGAAAATGATTCTTAATGTTATATAAATCTCATCATGTAATGTTACGTGTTTTAAAGATTTTTTTGGTGTTTTCCTGACTTTTGACCATTGACGATGCAAATGCTCATACTTTTAAAAACGTTTTTATTGTCAGCTCTCTTCCATTTGTATCACATTTACTCACTTGTTCCACACTTCCTTTCCTGTACTCTGTGCAAATTTATTCTCATGCTGAAGTGGTACTGCAGGTCATTGTTTCATTACAAATGTATTCTGCTTCAGGCAAGATGAAAAACACTCCCATCAGTTTGGCTTGTTGTCAACGCTTGAAACCAATTTTCTAATAAGGATTAAATTTGGATTTTCGTGTGATATTGTAAATAGTACTAGTGATGTATACCTTAGGTGTTCCAACCTCCTTTAGAAAGTATTACCTCTAATGTAATACCAAGACTATGGCTTTTGGATGTTCAGTACATTCTGAAAATATTCAGACACCTTTTTTCCACATTTTTTATGATGCAGCCTTATGTTACAATTGTTTACATATATTTTTTTTCACTTTATTCTATGCTAAATGGCTAATATTGACAAAGACAAAAAAAACATATATTTTTGAAAACATTGCAAATTTAATATTGATTACACATTTTTTTTATTTATATGCAATATCCTTACAGCAACAGAATTCCTTTATTAACCAATACCCCAGCTCGCTTCAATCTCTTTTCATATTCCCAGAGGACTCATTTTTACTTCAGCTCTTTACTTGCTTTTATCTCAATCTCCCATTAGTTACTGATAAATTCAAAGGCCACTATGTAATAAAATAATATTGTCCATTGCTTCTTTTATTACCTATCATGTCTTTCTCACTCTGTTCTTTCTTAATTCTCCTCTTACTTAGAGTGCCAAGTGCAATCTACCCAAGAATCCCAAGTGTGAGCTACCATTAATCTACATCTGTCGTCTGCTTGCAGTCTAATTTCTCACCTACAGAACTTCTCTAGGGTTGTCCATTTGTTAAACTATGCCTTCCTTGCCCAATCAGACCATTATTTTCTATTCAGTCCTTAAAATGCTTAGTTAAGGAAGCAAATCAACTAACCGGTTCAATTATTTCCAACATAACATTCCACTCATATCTCACCTCCCCAAATTAATAAATAAATATGTTTTAAATTGAATGCATGTAGCAATCAATATTCCCTCTGGGATAACAATGTTCAGTGTAATTATACCCCTCTTCCTTTTGGCAGTAAGATCGTTTAAACATGGCTCTAGACCCATCTTATTAATTATATGCCAAATTTGTTTCTCTCATTGACCTTCGAACTAGCCCATAATCTATTTTTTTTTTTTTTTTAAAGAAACGTTTTATTAAAGGAAATGGTTTAACTTTCCTCGACTAATACACAGACTCCAGAATGTTTCACGGACATAAATATCACTTATTTAAGAAACTCACATGAATAGGTACCATGAATGTAAAACTAATTAGTTTCACTATAACTCAGAAAACCAAACCTGTCATCTGAGGACAAATCTGTGAAAATGGAATCTCATCCCTTAGCCTGTAGTTAGAATGACAGAATTGCTTTCACGACACAAAAATAAATGTTTAGATAAGCACTGTAATTTATAAGATGTGTCTGATTTGACAGGACTCATTGGAGTATCCCTTAATCCCATGATTTGTCCAACCAACATATTGCAAAGCCTGGTAGCTTGTCAATACGTTAGTAGAAAATGCAGCTTTCTAGAAATCTGAGAGCTATGTACTAAAAAAAAAATCTATAAAGCATCAAGTGAAACACAAATGTAATAGAATTTGGTTAATTTTTACTCTTATATTAAATCACTTGAAATGCATCTATCACGCAAAATGATATGGTGCACTTAAAAGAATAAAATGTTAATTCAAACAAAAAAAGGTGCTATTGAACAGTAGATGAAAGAGAAACCCCACCATTAACAAGCATATTTTTATAATTTTTTTTTATTATTATTCTTTATTTTTGCTGTGCGTGAAAGTACAATATAGCATGTAACGCCATAACAGCGACATCAATAACAGAAAATATAAAATAACAAAAAAGTTGCATGGCTGTCTTATATACTGCACATTTTTATTTTTTGGGGAGTTAACTAATTGACTTAAAAGCGGGGATATAACAGGACTCCACCACATGTGTACCACTGGGCAGCCTGGGTTGTCTCACTCCCTCATCCAATGCCCAGTCTATATTGAGATTGTTGGTCTCCCTTCAAAAGGTAAGTAACAGGTAGGTATACACACTGTGTAAGAATGAGATGCTATGCTGCTCTCTTCTGAGCTTTACTGACCCCAATAGTACAACAAGCCCGAGGGTCTTCAGTAACTGCTCTGCCAAAAGAGCTCTGCCGGTCCGTCTGGGTGCATGGAGGCTGTGGATACAGAGCAGGTCTGTGCAGGTCAGTTTGTGGAGTCGTAGATACAGCTGTGTGCTGTTCAGTTTTCGGTGTACCCTGCTGTCTTGCTGCTATGTTCACCCAGAATCTGTCAAAGATTGAGTCCAGGCAGGCAAGAGAAGCTGCGATGTAGGCCTAGCCTGAGGAATTCCATGTGATCGCCACCATTTTTGGCGCCACTCGACACTACCGCACAGAGTAATGGTAGGTGCTAGGTGTAGTGGTGGGGATCCTGCCTCTATGTGCTGACCATCTGCAAGAAGAAAAAGGAAACAAGCCATTTACAAGGTAATTGAAATTAAGAAAAAGGACTCATACTAGAAGTTAGCGCTGACCGGGAAAAACATTCTCAAATAGGCATGTCTTCTGAATTATGGGTTGTCCATCAGACCAAAAGCTAATTTCTACTGTTGTTGGTGTTATTGACTAGTTGCTAATTTTTTAAGTTGCTATCACTAACTTTAACAAGTAGCTGGTGTTTTGTTTTTTATTAGTAGTAGTATTCATATAAAGCCAACATAATCCACAGGGTTTACAATGATCGAAACTGAATGTTTAGCGGTAAAGAAGGACCTGCTCAAACAAACTTCAATATGAGGAATTGAGGTAGATAGATATTTAATGTGGATAAGTGCAAGATAATGCATCTTGGGTGTAAAAACCCAAGGGCAGAGTATAGAATATTTGATTACCCTGCTTACCTCAACATCTGAGAAAAGGGATTTAGGAATAATTATTTCAGATGACTTAAAGGTAGGCAGACAATATAATAGAGCAGCAGGAAATGCTAACATAATGCTTGGTTTTATATGGAGAGGAATTAGCAATAGAAAGAGAGAAGTGCTCATGCCATTGTATAGAACACTGGTGAGACCTCACTTGGAGTATTGTACGCAGTACTGGAGACCGTATCTCCAGAAGGATATTGATACTTTGGAAAGAGTTCAGAGAAGGACTACTAAACTGGTTCATGGATTGCAGGATAAAACTTACCAGGAAAGGTTAAAGGATCTTAACATGTATAGCTTGGAGGAAAGACGAGACAGGGGGATATGATAGAAACAATTAAATACATAAAGGAAATCAACACAGTAAAGGAGGAGACTATATTTAAAAGAAGAAAAACTACCACAACAAGAGGACATAGTCTTAAATTAAAGGGGCAAGGTTTTAAAAATAATTTCAGGAATTATTACTTTACAGAGAGGGTAGTAGACGCATGGAATAGCCTTCCAGCTGAAGCGGTGGAGGTTAACACAGTAAAGGAGTTTATGCATGCGTGGGGTAGGCATAAGGCTATCCTTACTATAAGATAAGGCCAGGGACTAATTAAAAGTATTTAGAAAATTGGGCAGACTAGATGGGCCGAATGGTTCTTATCTGCCGTCTCATTCTATGTGTCTATGTTTTTTACCTAGAGACAATTAATAGGGAAGTATTCAAACCTGAGTTACCCAGTTATAATTCAGTGGCGTTACCACTGCTCTAACCAACCAACAGCTTTTACCCAACTGCAAAATCTAACCAGTAGCCATAGGGAATTACTGTCTGATGTTACTTAAAATTACTGGTGTCCAAGCTCTTGGATACAATTTACTGGCTGCTTTTACCTCCCTCTCTATACATTCAATAGTAAAAGAATACATGTTGGGAATATGGCATCACATTTAAACCCTAAAGCACATCTCAAAGTGTATCAAACATTACTAAAAAGAAAGCAAAAGTCTGAAAAACAAGTTAAAAAGTTAAGCAAGAAGGATGTTGAAGGCTGTAGGCCATTTGTTGCTGTATTCAGGCATATGTTGGTGTATCCAGGCATATGCAATAAGAATCAGGAACATGGATAATTTACATACTACAGTGTCAGCCTTCCAATTATACAGTAATTTATGAAAGAGGCATTCACGACTGGTGTAACATAGAAATGGATAATTTCAGGAACCCATTAGATTCATGGCATTTATCGTTTATCCTGTCTGTGGATTTGTTAAAATTACATGATGAGGCACATGAAAAGCAAGTCTCCCCTGCACCCTGCATGACAGGCAACGCAACCCCAGACAGTCATTTCAATCTCCTTATTTTTTATAGCTTGAACTATATATCTCCTCCACAGTCTGACATGTTATTTATTACATCTCTTAAAAATATATTTATAACAGAATTGCTGGGTCCCACATTTTTCTTACGCACTATGTTATCCATGGATGTCGTTCGAGATTTCAGAAAATCCCTTTAAAGGCTGCTTTTCGGAAGAAATGATATATTTAAATTCGTACATTTCTCTCTTCATGCAATTTTATTTAAAAGATGAATGTGACTGCATAGGATAATTCTGGTATCTCATGGCACCATCTGCATTTCCTTTCTCAGATTATTCTATTGTTTTGTATAAATTTAGGAGAATAACAATTTGTTAAACATGGTTTACAATTAGGAACAACTGGATAAATATCAAAACCTATCAGATATTTTCTAATTGTCTTGTGTTAAATTCGATTGAATGTTTCATGGTTCAAGCTATCTATGTAAGTATGAGTGGTGCTCTCCACAGCTAACGACAGGCAATGTTAAAAGAACAGTTTACGAAAAATATGTATTGGCATTCAAAATGTTACAATTTTAGAACAAATACCAAAGTATCCAACATCCCTTTGCATTGGGTTTTTGGAGGAATCCAAACCTCACATTTTTGTAGAAGGGTCTCCCACTTACAAGTCATGGGTGTAGATGTCATTGTAGGTGTCTTGTATTGCTGAGACCTCCACTTGGAACTCTGAATGGACCTGTTGAGTTGAGTGTATGATTTGTGTCAGGCCAGCCATCAAACAGAGAAGCATCCTTTATTTTAGTGTGTCATTGCTGAGTGGACCAGGCCTTTATCACCCCTTCTTTCCCTAGCTATGTGCAAGATGTTGTTTTGTATTCATTGGGTCCTTGGCCTTAGATACAGAGATTCTGGATAGAAATACCTCAAAAGCCAATGGGCTGCATTAACCGTTGACGTTGTTGAAATTGCGCCACGTTTTTTAGTTGAGAGATATCCTCCAGATGCTATCAATGTAGGGTCATATATCTAAAATTCTCATTCTTTACCTTTAAACCTTACTTTAAAAGATTTATTATTCTCATGACAAAATATTGTTGCATCATGGAGAATAAACATAGTGTGATTTCACAAACAGCTCTCCAAGCTTCTTAAACATGTTACTTCTATGTCCTGCAGTTCCTGAGGATTGGCCTTGGAGAATCCAGTCTTTGACATTAGCAAACAGTGGAACAAGATATCTGCATAGATGTAAGTGGACACGGGGCAATCAGAAACGGCCTTCAGTCTAAAATCTGCAAGAGCAGCAAATGTATACTAGTAAAATAAAAAATAAATGTTGCCGACCAAGAGGTCAGACAGCCTTTTGCCAAAATGTATAAAGAGATGAGGGGCAGGGGTGGAGGGGGGGCATAATGCTGGGTATCTGCCACATAGTTACAACATAGACTTCAGATAAGGTTTAAACCATAAAAAAACAACTAATTCAATGTTATGTTCATATCAGGGAAAATTATTGTTACTTTTTGATTATATAATTTAGTCATTGTACTTTTCTGTTATTTCTAAAAGCCAATCTTAGATAATCCCAGTTCTTATATTACCTTCGAAGAGCATGAGTGCTATGTGGATGGATGAACTAATGACTTAGCTATGAGCATGCGTGCTATGTGGATGGATGAGCCATTACTAACTATAAATTTACTTTTCACATTACATTCAGCTGCATGAATACATCAAAACGCATTGATGCAAAAAAAAAAACAATATAAAAAAAATGACTTTGAAAATGGTCTAATTTACCGAGGCATGTCTTCAGCAAGAGAAACATACATAAAAAGAGTTGTTGTTTATTACACTGTATTTAATAAGCCAATTAATATAATGTTAAAACACTTGTGTAGCTTTCTGAAACAGAAAATTCTTATCACCGAATTTCCTAGTTACATTAAATGGCTTAGTTAATAGACAGTTCTTTAATTAGATTTATAGTACAGTCTGATGAGAAATTCAATGCACAATAGAAGAAGTCAGAGAGTTCATCTGCTAGAATATATCGTATTTACATGTAATGCTTCGAAACAAGTCAGGAGCTGTGTCCTTGATATCAACTGATGTCCCCGTTTTGTTTAAAAAAAAAACTAACAATGATAAGCAGTAGGCCGTTTCATAGTATTTGTAATGATTATTCAATTGGAAACCAAACTGATAAATTCTTAATCAAAATGTAAAGAAAGTAATTGTGTAATGGACCGTTTTTCCCACAAGAGGTTAAAAACCTCTTAGGCGATATTCCCCTTTTTCAGATGTACAGACAGCTACTGCAAACCCACGAATTCACCAACTCCCGAACTGCAACCAAGGGAATACTCGAAACTCCCGAACTGCATATCAAGTAGTGCTCCAAACTCCCGAACTAGAGACACACGAATAGCTGTTAGCAGACGAACAGGAAAAGCCCCCAAGTGGCTTACACTCCTGGCAATCAGTCTCTAACAGCATACAGTAAATCCCCCCAAAGACGAGACGACACTTTGGTTTGAGGGTCAAGCAGAATCTGGTTTACTGGGGCTAACTGCCCGGCTTTTATGCAGGTCTCCCACCTGGTGGACACTCCCCTAGGGGACCAAATGGGAAACTGGGAAACATATTGGCTCTTAGCCAATCACAGACATACACCCTTAAACACTCCCACAATTACATCACAATCCCTCCTCTCTGTCCTGGAGATAATTGGGAAGTAATCCACTTATCTCCCAGGACAGAGGCAAAACTCCATTAACCACATGGCAGTAACAATACAGTAAAAGATATAAAATTACATACAGTTACATTTACTACATAAAACATAGACATTCTACATATCCCCAGATAGCTTAGATCTGAGTGCACATTACTACCGAATGGCGCTCAGATCACATACATACAGTTCAATCGCCATGGAGCCAAAGTCTTTCCCATAGTCTTTCATTACACGAATAGGCTCCATGGCTTAGCTATCTGGGGGATTCTGTTCATCTGGCGAAACTACCGAATGAACAGTTATTCGGTTCTGCTTACCGAATGGGAAGGTAAGGAGGCTGGCGGCTCAGCGGTGTTCGCGTCAATAAGTGTCTGTTTTCAGTTCCATAGTTTGGGCGCTGAACACCGCTGGCCGTTCGGGAGGTAAAATGGCCGCTGCCACGTGTTCAGCAGACGAACAAAGGCCA